CATGGCTGGCTGGGGAATTCTGGGAGGTGAAGTCCACACCTCTTAAAGTTGCTGAGGTTGAGTCTAAGGATGCACCACTTAGAAACTTTTTGTTGGAAGTTTAAGATTCCTGGGCTGGGCCTTTCGGCGCCTCTCTTACCGTTGGCCGATGGAGACCGCGGGAAGCCTTGGGCTCCTCTTTTGTCAGGACTTGGGAAAGGACTGGTCGGGGGCTGGTCGTACAGGGGCAGTGGCGCCAGAGAGTTTTGGGGCTTTGGAGACGGAAAGACCTGCGGGGAAACGGGGAGACTGCGTTAAAGAAGACGGGTCTTCTCGGCTACGGAAAGAGCCATTTCTGCTAACGGAGCGAACTGTCTCAAAATCCAGGACATCGCCTGACCACCACAGAGGGAGTTGCTTCCAAAACTGGAGAATAACCAGCTAAAAATGCTGCTCTGCAAGCTGATTTGCAAGCAGTGGAAGACTGTCGCCCTGCAGGTCCACGCGGCTCCCATTCTGCTTGTGTTTAGAAAGCAACTGAACTCAGTCTTCGTCCCGTTCGGTTCTGGTTGATGTGGATGGCCGCCGGAGGGATTTCCAATTATATGCAGGTAGTCCTTACTTACCGACCACAGTTGGGACTGGCAACTCCGTTGCTAAGTGGCACGGTCATTAAGCACTATGTCACATGACTGCACCCATTTATGATGTCAGTTCTGGCTGCAGTTAAGTGAATCACCACAGGTTGTTAAGCACGATGTCACATGACTGCCCCTTGCAGTCTCCTGCCGGCTTCCCCATTGACGTTGCTTGTCGGAAGCTGGCTGGGAAGGTCGCAAATGGCGATCACCTGACTGCAGGAACTGGAGCCGTCGTAAATGCACACCAGTTGCCAAGCGCCTGAATTGCGATCATGTGACTGTGTGGATGCTGTGATGGCTGCAACTTCGAGGACTAGTTGTCTCTATTTTCAGCACCATCATAAGTTTGAATGGTCACTGAACAAGTAGTCGGTAAGCGAGGACTACCTGTAATTATTTCTTTTGTGTTCTTGGTGATGCATGATTGGTTTTATTTTGTCTTAAGTGTTCATGTGTTAGCCACCCAGAGTCCTTGTACTCTGGGGCAAATTATATATACTGTATGTAAGTAAGTATGGTGTTGGAAAAGAGTCCTGAGAATAACATAGACAGCCAAGAATCCAAACCACTGGATCAACCCAGAGTTCTTACTCAAGGAACAAATGACCAGGCTCAAATTATCTTATTTTGGACACATTATGCAAAGACCTAGCTCTTTGGAGAAGGCTCTGATACTGGGTAGGAAAGAGAAGAAGATGGTCTGTACTCAGTTTCAGGAGTGATGGGGGCACTGTTGGTAGGCCTGAAGGGCCAGGTTGGGGACAGATCCTCCTGGAGAAAATCTATCTAAGTGGTCATTAAGAGTCAACACCAACTTGATAGCACATAATCAACCTATCAACTCCCTGGAGAAATCTATAATCCTGGGAAAAGTGGAAGAAAAGAGAAGAAGAGGATGAGATGGACAGACTCAGTTACAGTGGCAATGGGGGCACCATTGGAAGACCTGAAGGACCAGGTTGGGGACAGAAGATCATGGAAAAAATCTACCTCTGTGGTCACTAGGAGTCAATAACAATTTGATGGCATATAATCAACCAATCAATGTAAGTAAACAAATATTCAAATTTCTTGGGGAAAAAAGAGGAAATGCCTGTTTCTTAAATTTATTTATTAAACCAATGGTGCAATAAACAAAATGGCCCTCTCAGGCCAGGGGGATCTAGGCCAGGCTGAGCCTGTTATCAAATCACAAAATGGAAGGGTTTGAAGGGACCTTGGAGGCCACCTAGTCCCACTCCCTGCCCAGTGTGGGATCCACCATTTCAACAGGGGCCACTTCCACTAGTGCTGGATTTCTTCCCATGGACCTAACCAGAGGATCAGTGTAATCTGACTTCAGCCACAAAAGCTTGTCTACCTACTTCTCTTCCCAACAAAATAAAGACAGCCCTTCGCGTCTGGATAGCACAGGAAAGGCAACGGCACGGCCTGAAGAAGACTTTGAAAGGCAGTCGTTCGGTTGCGGCTGAAAATGAGGACATGAGATCAGGAAGAAAAAGCTGACCCTCAACCAAAGGCACACTTTGTACCCTGATGGCACAGCAGTCAATGGCAGGAAGGGGCTAGAGCATTTCCTCTTTTTCCCTTCCTTCCTTCCTGTTCTTTTCATTTGGGCAACGTGTCTGAGCTCAGCCTTGGCTGAAAGTCTAGACTCGCCGGCCAGAGTATTCGAAAGGCTCAGCCCAAGAGGAGAGGGGGCGGGGGGTCAGCTGCCGACCTCCAAAAATCTTTCTTTTGCCTTACGTGGCACATGAACACTTAGCAGCAGGGCAGGAAAGAGGACACGGACACCAGTGAACCCATTTCGAAATACAGGGACTGCAGAAACGGACATCTATTTCTTGAGGGAGACACTGAGAAAAGTTTAGGAGCCTGGGAAAAAGACATTCCAGCTCTGGAGAATGGGGGAAAAGGAAGACGGTCACGGTAGCATTTTTCAGGTACCAAGAGGGCTGCTGCACAGAAGAAGGGAAATATCTATTCTCCATTGTCCCCAGATGCAAGACACAGAGCTTTCATTAATTAAAATAAAATAAATTCCTTTAATTAATTTCAGGTTTTAAATTACAGGAAGGCAGATCCCAGTTGAAAGTTAGGAAAACTTCCCCAATGGTAATAGTGATTCAGCAGCGGAACTAATCCCCAGCAGAGGCCATGGGCTCCTTTTTCCTGGACGGCCATTGGTCAAGGATGCTTTAATTTAGATTCCTGTACTCAGTGTGTGTGCGTGCGTGCCTGTGTGTGTGTGTGGACTAGATGGCCTCAAGGAACCCCTTCCGAGTGGGGGTGGCCTTTAGCTTACATACATTATGAACTTGCTTTCCAGGGGAACGCCTGAACAGAAAGCTATTTCTAGAGCAAACTGCAGGTCCAGCCACATCTGCTTTCCAGGCCCCGGAACAGTTCTGCAAGCCTTAAAAATATGTCACTCGACCCTCCTGCCCCGCTCTGCCAGGCCTGAAACCAGAGATGCTCACCGCTCATCCCCAGGGCTGCGTGAGCCCCTCCAGAGCTCTGGATGCTCAGAAACCTTGCAAAGACTATTTTTAGCATGAGAGATGGTAAGTAATCAAGTCAATTCCATTTTATTTTAAGATAATTTCGTTATATTTAAATTTAAATCACATCAAATCAAATGGAGCTTTTGCTCTCAATTCATCCTTCTGACTTCCCCCACTGTCTGGAGTGGCAGCTTTCCAATGACACAGAAGGAGCACCCACCCAGCCCCACCTTAGCACACAGGGAGAACACCAAAGGTTCTCTCATGCAGTTCTTGACCGATCTTAAAAAATGTAACAGAAGTGGAGATGAAGCAGAAAGGACTGGCATTACAAGATGGTTCCAATCTGGCTATCTGACTCTTTTAAGACTAGGAATGGGAGATGGGAATGACCAGGGAGGCACCCTGTTCTCAGGGCGTGAGTATACCCAGTTTAGTGATGGCCCCCATGGCTAAGACTGCCTTTTCTGGCTTTAATGGGATGTTCCTAATGGGCCCCTACAATTCCCAAAATTCTGGACTAACCATGGTCTCCTGATTAGGAACCGCAGAAGTGGATGTCCCCACAGAAGCAGACACCAGGTTGGATGTGGCTGCTTTAATCAGGGTGAGGAGAGAGGAAGGCGGTAGAACAGCCAAGGGAATGTTTGTGTGTCTTTCTCCAGAAATTCTCCCATCTCCCCTGCCCATCGTAGGTCTGCTATACAGAGACCATGGCTTCCTTGTCCAAAACTGGCGGATGGCGCATCTGGGTTGGCGGGATTCCCTGCAAATCTTGCCCTTCTCTCCAAGACACGAAAAATTGTCTGCTTACGTACCCACTTGCAACACTCTCGGCTCTGGAGTCTCCAAAGTTGCAGATCCACCTCAAGACGTTTGCACGTCCTTCTTTAAAAAATTAGGGGTGGAGCTTCTAAGCTGGTGTTTTTCAACCTTGGCCACTTTAAGATGGGTGGATTTCAACT